GTACTGTCTGTATGCAGATGCTGGAAGGAGATCTGGAATAGATTATAATCTAACTTTCAGAAATAAATAGAGCATACACCATTAATATTCCATATAAAAATGAATGTTTTATATGGGCATCTCAAACAACTGAAAAATTTCTTTAGATACAGATATCAAGGTGGGAGAATGTCCTGCTTTATCGACTCATTAGGACTCCTGATTGTATTTCTTTCTTGGTATAGGGATAATAGCAACATGCCACTTGCTTGTGAAGAGGAGAGGGGATACTAAGTCTTGAGTTCATTGCATGCCATTTGTGTGCAACTACTCATTTAGCAAACTGATCTCCCAATATTTTTCCTCTCCCAGAGCTGTGGATCATTGGGGTGGTGCTCTTAAAGCAGTGGATTTCAGGGAATTTAATATAAAAGAACTCTAAGAGCTTTTTCTGAAGCTTTTTATTCTAAGAGCTTTTTCAAGCTGTTGACTGCCTTCATTATGTGTACTTCAATCAAGTTTTAGGTTGATCTTTCTTCTTAAAAACATTCCAATGAAGCTCTATTTCCTAATTCAATGTTAGATTTGTGCCTCTTTATGCTGCCTTCAGGCTGTTAAAATTTGCCTATTGCTACCTCACCCAATGTAATACAGTTCTTTTTATTACTGAATATACATTCCTACACCGGTTAGAAAGTTTGATTCCTTCAAGAAATTGTGTTTTACACTCTTTATATATACCCTCTAGATTAGCATTAGCATCAACATTCTGATTTTGTAGAGCTTTGTGTACTGTTTGCACATGACTACATGGTATGTGATGCAATACGTTTTTAAAGGTTCAGTGAAGTTGAGACACAGATGGATTTTTCAGGATTTCAGCTTGACTTCTGTCTTGACTCCACATATTCTATCCTTGCAAACTTAATCAGTGAAGTGTCAGATGGGAGTGGAAAAAGAAACCCTGATGTTCATTAAAAAAATAACTGGCTTTATTGTTAGTTGTAGGCTTGCTTGCTCATGTTTGGTGTTCTTTTGCTGTATTTATTATAGATTCATCAACTTAGCACAAACTGTAGCTTACTTGTCTCTTGCAATGTGAATATGCAGTAGAAATATGTGCAAGTTATTGTTGCATAATTTTTTATGTGTGTCATTTGCTGAACAGTAATTGAAAATTGAGGAATTTTTAAAGGATTAAGATGAAGTTTTTCAGAAACATATCAAATACAGGAAAATATTTTTCACTTATATTACAGTAACCTTAAGCTTAAAGGAAACATAAACCCTTTGTAGTCTTAATATTGTAATTGTACAATAGGATGTTGATTAAGTTTAGACTAGACAGCTGCTCTATCCTTCAAAACACTTTCTGAAAAGAGTATAAAGTTAATGATATATACAGTCTACAGCTTCCTCACAAGGGGCACCAATTTCTTCTCTCTGGCAACCAGCAATAAGACCTGAGGGATTGGCATGGAGCTTTTTGGGGGGGTTAGGTTGGATATTAGGAAGAAGTTCTTTACCTGGACGCTGGTTGGGCACTGGAACAGCTCCCCAGGAAAGTGGTCACAGCACCAAGCTCAATAGAGTTCAAGAAGCGTTTGGACAATGCTCTCTGGCACGTGGTGTGATTCTTGGGGCTGTCCTGTGCAGGTCCAGGGATTGGACTCAATGATCCTTTTGAGTCCTTTCCAACTCAGGATATTCAATGATTCTACTTAAAAAGTCAGTGAGCTGAGGCATAATCTTGAAGCATACAAAACCTCGTAAATGTATGAACTATGTATATGGTCTTATTTTTTGGTAAATGTTTTAAGTACAGAGCAGATTAACACTTAAAAAAGATTTGAATTGTTGAGTCAGGCTAGCTGGTTCACCCTGTTAAATCTGCTTTTCTTCCCCAATCTGTTGTCTGGCACAGATAAATTGCAGGTTGGGAGTGGTGGACAACTGGGATAATTGGGACTTTTTAAGTCTTGAAGGGAATACTGAGCTTTAAAGTAAAACTACATATGTACAGACATATTAAACTAGAAAGATCAACTATGTTTCTGTAAATGAATGGAGTATTTTTTGCAAATAGACTAGGTATGTTCATCCGGCCAACAGCAGTATCATGAAGAGATAATTAAGTTGAATTTCAATGATAAGCTTGGGTCTATTAGCTTATATGCATGAAAGCAGTATCTGATGAAAGTGGCATAAATTGTGACTGAATTTTGGGGATGAAGTCCTCTGTGAAAGGAGGCTTCTGGGATCACTATTTTCTTTCCTTCTGTCTAAATCCGAGAATTTGAGTTCGAAGAAAATTATATCTCTAAGGGTCAAATCCGAACTGTAAGTTTTAATCATGCTTATCCTAAGAAAAGTAGACTTGCACAATGCAATCTTTTTAATCAGAAAAGTGGCTATAAACCTCTTATTCAAAAAGTTACTCCTAGTTATATAGCAACATTTCTTCTGTACAAGTGTTTCTTGCTTGTTCTTTTTCTTGATGTTTGAACAGTAGCACCTGTTCAGCTCAAATTTATTTGATTTCACCTGTGCTGTTGTAATAGAATTATTAGCTAAAAATCCAGATTTATTGTAATTATCTACTCTGTGCTATATGTTTCAACATAATTTGTATAATCTAGTACACTTTCAAATTGAAGTGAGGACAGATTTTTTCTTTCAGAATCTGTAGCATTTATGATCAGTTGTATAGAAAGTACCACGCTTGACCTGAAATTCTAAGCTGATATGAAGCTGTGACTTAAGTGTAAACTGAGACAATTCAACCTGCAACCACTAATTCCATTATATATGGATATACTGAAAAAATTTATTTAATTTTTTGTATTTGAACCAAATATTTTGATTTATCTGTGCTATGAGACTAGGTTCCCTGCTTCTGAGACTAGGAGGTGGAAATGAGCGTGCAGAATCAGGTACAGAAGGGTGCTTCAATACTGTAGATTTCTGGCAACTTAAGCTATTATGGGTATGTTCTGGCAAACGTGGAGTTAGACATTGGCATTCAGTGTTGAAATGGCTTTATTTTGTGAGTAAATGGGAATCTGAAATAATACTTTATATTCCACTTCTAGGTATAAGTATAGTGAAGCTTAGTTTATATTATCTATCATTCCTTTTCTGTGTTGCTGTTATGCTTTCCTCTATGTACAGATTGGTTAAGTGGAGAGACTCATCCTGTATTTGGCATTTGTGAACTGACATCTCAAAGATGATGACCTATACGAGTGTAAAAATTGACTGGAGTAGCTATGACGCTCAAAGCAGTAGCGTCTGCAGCCTGTCAAAAGAAGGGGCTAACTTAAGGCAGAAAGCCTTAAGTTGAAGCTCTAACAGTTAATGTATAACTTTCTGAAAAAGGTGAAAAAAAGATTTTTTTAAATTATTCTAGGACTTTTAATAGCATAATATGAATATGCTTGAAAGCCCTTAACTTTGTAAATGAACACTTAATTTTTTTTTTTTTAATGTGAGCATACTCTTTTTTGTAGTATTTTCTGTGAAAAGAATGGGAAAGCTTGTTTTACTAATCTTGCTTTTTACTTTTGTAAATACTTAAAGCTAATAGCAGATTGCTATTTGCAGATGAAGCAATCTTCAATTAAATCCCAGTTTGCATGTACATATAAAAATGATTTGAGTGAAATGGGTCATCAGCATTCTCTTGAAATTCCAACCTGCAAACATCCTGCACCAAAGCAACACTTGAAAGCTGGATATGGGACAGGTAAGCTGTGGTAGGATTGAATAAGAAAATGTGATAGCTAATATTTGAAATGTTATCCAAAAAGCCTTTAGTAGAACTCAAGTATAACTCTGTTTTCAAGAAAAAAAAAGTCTCATTGTTCTGTGCATGCTATAATCAGTTAAATCTCTGAATTAAAATTGTGATGCTAATGCTTTGAAAATATGAATGTTTGAAAATTATGTGTTGATGCTATCTTGAGGTAAAAAAACTATATGTGTACATATGTTACATAACATTTGTTCTTATTTTACAAAAGTCAGCTAAGTGAAATTTGTACTTTTGCCATTAAAAGGGGTGAGAAATGTTTTAATCCACTACAAATTATATCATATATAAATTCTCTTTTCCAATATCTTAAAGTTATATATTCACTTCCTTAAGTTAGTTGCTATTATATGTTTTAGAGCAATGCCATTTTGTGACGATACAGCAAATGTAATTGCAATGGCCAGCATAGCTTTGTTTTATTGTTGGAACATTAGTTTTGATTAAAAAAATAATGTGGCAGTCTTGGTATAAAAGGGATGTATATTCTCAGGTAACTTTTTATTTCTTCACATGTTTTTTATATTCTTACATGACAGAAGGTACAAATTCATGTCTTGATGTACCAGTGCTTGGAACTATTTCTGAAAGTCTTCACCAGACTAGAAGTTGTACAGAAATGGGAAAGCTGAGTTGTCAGCCAAGGAACAAGAACTCCAAGAATGAACAGATGGATGTGAATAATGACAAAGTAATCTGTGACAAGGGAAGTGAACCATCTTTGCAAAAAAATGCTAAAAGACTTAAGACTTCAAGCAACTCTCAGAAGGAATTGGACAGCAAAATCGGGGGTAAAAGAAAACAGACCAAAACTTCAAGTAAGAATAAGTTGATTGCTGGGCAGGCAAAATTAACTCAGTTTTTTCGCCTATAGGTTTTTGTTTTGACATACATGGTATGTTGACAGTTGTAAAATTTTGTGAGAAAAAGGGTGAAATTAATGAATTGCTTCCTTTCATACTCAAATAATTGAAAGTAGCTTGTGTATAATATTAGACAACTTATTACAAGTCTGGATTATGCTGAAGTCTTTTATTTTATAATAGCAATACATTGTTAGTAATTGCAGTACGTGCTTTTTGGTAATGATTTATGTATCCCTCTACAATGTGATGGGAAACTATTTTTGGATGCGTATGTATAGCCACACTAAAACACAGTAACTTCAAATTGCATTAAATTCAAAATAAAATGTTTAATCTTCAAAGATGGTGGTGCAGATCAATAGTTTTCATGCTTGCCAACAAGGTCGATAGACTCTTCCCAGCATACACCTGAGGACTAAGGGAGGAAAAAAAAAATCTGAAGGTTTAAATCTGCAAAGAACTAGAATTCCTATGGCCTCTGAAAACATTAATTTAAAAAATGCTCCCTCCCCTGTGCACTGATTCACAACAGGCATGGAGTTTCTACGTGAAATTTTATGAAATTGCTATATTGACATTGCACTATACTTTACCAGAATGAAATGATTTTTTACGTAAAAATAAAATTTACTTACTGTCAAAATCTCTTCTTCCTATAGGGAATTTAGCTGAATTTTCTTCATCTGTGGTTTCTCTTTCCTGTATTGATTCAATATTTTGAATTTCAGTGTCAGCTGGAAAAGCCATGGCTCCCTTCAGTAGTTGTTTTCTACCTAAGTTGATTGGCCTGACAGGATTTAAGAAATCACGTCTGGAACCCATGTCCTGTTTTGAGGGAAAACAAGAGTAGTGGTTTATCTTTATTTACAGTCAGTTGTGTTCACATTTTATACTTTATACTTCATAGTGCAACTATTTTATGTTTCAAGATCATAGGTTAAAAGTAATGACCTGCATTACATCTTTGGCCGAAAAGGTTTAATGGTAAAGAACATAATGAAATAATGAGCCTCATGTTTGGCGAAGTTAAAAACCTGTTGCTGTGTAGAGGGACATGCTGAATCAAACATAAATATAGGCTTTTTCCCCCCCACAAGCTTTGGCTACATATAGTTCTGTAAAAATCAGATTTAATTCAACTGTCCAAGTTACACATTCAAAATCCTGGCACTAGATAGTTACAGCTGAAAATTTATTCTTGATTATGGTATGTTAAACTGGTATTTTTGTATATTTACCAGGTTGTTGCTTTAAATTATTGTCCTTGTTTTCTAAAGGGGTATAAATAAATTTCCTTTTTATAATTAAGCCGAAACGTAAAACTGAACTCACCAAAAACTTCATGTTTCCATCATTCTTTTCATTGAAAACAATGCTGTCTTCTGTCTTGTAATGCTTCAGCAAAGGTATAGCTCCTCTGTTCAGAACCGTGTCTCCATTTTGGAGAGGTTTTCCTAGATTTAGTGTGGTTAGCAACATATCTTCATCTTCCACCTCTTGCAGAGATTTTGAAACTGAGAGTAGAAAACCTTGAGAAAAAAGAGAGAGGGAGAGAATTAATATGTATGATGAGATACACATTCTTAGTTATTTAATGCTTCCATAGAAATTCAGCAGTTCTCAAATGTTAAGAAAGCTTTTCCAGTTGCAAATTAAGACATTCTCCATTTGTGCCCACTTTATATATTTCACAGGTTGAATAGAAACTACTTCAGTGGCTGATGAGTTCACCCTTTTAAAATGACTCATATTAAGGAGTAACATTTTCTATAATCCTCCTAATCCCATCTGTTGTTTAGAACTAAAACTTTCCTTTATCGTGGATAATTTGTTTCTTTGTATGTTTTCAGAATAGCACAGATTAGTTCCTTTTGACGGGTCAGTATAACAAAGGTCACAGAAAAAGTGATGTCCATTTGTGTTGTTTATAAAGCCTTACCTCCAGTTTAGGCAACTCAAGAAAAGGAACTAATCTACTTAAGTAAGGAAGACTGTTGTAAAGATATGATCTATCATAGCTTTTGATCAAAACTTGATTCACTAGAGTTGAAGACCTTGAAATTTAATGATAGCTTAGACTGCTGCCGTGTTAAAGCTGAAATTATTAGTTTGCATTTTGATGTCCATTGTACGAGGTTGCATTATTCAGAGTTAGTCTAGAAATATTTATTAATACTTAAATAACTGTATTTGTTTTCATTTTCTTACTGAAAGTGGACCTTTCCAAGCTACAAATATAAAATAGTCAAATATGCTAAGAATGTAGAAAGAAAAGTAAACTTCAGTTTTTCATTTAAAAAGTCTCTGAAATGTATCTGTTACCCCATGGAAGGAAATGTAGAAATTTCCACATACTGTCTCTGGAGGTTGTTGGTTTTTTTTTTACTTTATCTGGAAGGCAAATGGGCCAGCTGAAATGTAGCTAATCTCTTAATGTCAGTGATACAAACCACCTATTCAGTGGCTGTGTGCCTCTCAGCTAGTAATTTATATTTGTTTTATCTTTTAGCTTAGTGCAGGCTATCAAACATCCTGCTATTCAAGGTAAACCACTAGGAAATTGAGCTCTGATCACTGGTTACTTGCTGGACACGCACCTACCTTGCCAAAGTAACTTCCTGATAAGAAGTATAATGGCAAAATATGTCATCCAATCTCTTTTTGCTACTTTGTATTTTTCCCTCACATTACGTGTTTGTGTTCAATTAATGAAGCACTGGAGGAGTGCTTTGGAGCTGTGTTGGCAGCAAACTTTTCTTTTTATGTTCTGGTATGTATTAGGAGTTGGGGACAAAGCTCTCAACCCAGTAACTGTGTATGTGAAACCAGCTTCTGCTTATGTGAAGCTACAGCACCCACAGGTAAGCAGCGTCTGTCACACATTGTTCACTTTCGAATTCTTCTCACATTTAATACAAAGAACAGTTCCAGTGAGTACAACTGGCCTGGATCAGTTGGAAAGCCCATCTGCATTTTCTATCTAGTTGTCTACTATGAGACATAAGCCCATGTCTATGAAAGAATATAAGATCAGGGCAGACTTGTGGTATTCCCCTCAGTATGCTCCAGTGCTACTTAAACTGGTGGTTAATTTTTAAGTTTTGTTGGATGTCTAAGGTGGTTCTAGTAATAATTAGTAGAACCTTCTAATTAGGCTGCCAAGAAATCGATAGCATGTGTCTATAAATTCAATAACTTATCTAAACTGCTCTGAGCAGGCAGAAAACTTTCATACACCTGCAGATTTGCAATGTGTGTGGCTGTGTACAGCTCTTAATAATGCCTTTGGGAATCCTAACACTCTGATGTCTACATATTTTCCTTTTCATCCTGCAATTTTCAATTTTAGTGAAAATGTATAATGTTTTAATAGATCAGCTTCTATGTTTGTCATCGTTTATGAAATTGTTTTTTATTTTTAAATAGTAAATAGTAACCCAGTATTGCTTCCAGAACAATAATAATTATTTTGAGAAACATTTCTTGCTTCTATATTACATGTAGTAACAACATGTAGTAACAACAAAATACAAACTCTTAACATCTGAAATCTTACATTATATGTGAGTAAATAAAATCTAGGTGATAATGTGCCTGGAATTTCTCTCATACTTATTTTAAATTCTTGTAGAAAAGGGTTACAAAACAATTGTAATACTTTCTTTTAGTCTTGTAAATAGTTTCTTTTAGTCTGTAACTGCCATATGCAAGTGCTTGAACCTAATGCCTAGTATTGACTGAACAATAAATAAACCAGATATATATTGTATAAAGTCAGTTTTGTTTCCCCCTATTATCAGAACTGAAAAACTTTGCAATGCAAGAGAGACTATTTAAGCAACCTTAATAAATCATTTTAGTGAATTGTAAAATAGCACAAAAATACTTGGTCGATATTAATTTGCCCAGTGGCATACTATTTCTGATTTTAAAAGGTGGTTTGTGGTTTTTTTGTTTGTTTTATTTTTAGTTTGGATCTTTGGATTTTATACAAACAGCTGTAATTTAGTCCTTTTAGAGTGCAGTTAGAAGATATTTGACATTTGAAGAAATGCCACAAATACTGAAACTTTGGAAGACTGATTTAAAACCAAATCCAAACTCTTCATAATACTTGTTCATTCGTGTGATCCTCTAGTAGCAGAGAAGGAAATGCAGACTCTTTCTTATCCCTGCAGTGTGTAAAAACATGGAGTTATGTGCATGGTGTGTATTTCCAGGCTACTAAAACATTTGGGTATTTTTAATAACAACATAACATCCTCTTCAGTTGATAAATAACTGAATATATTATATTTTTTGTAGGAGAATGAAGAAATCTGTGGCATTTATTTTATTAAAAGATCCATTTTAGCAGTAGATTTATCAGTATACATTGTGTATTGTGTCAGACAGGTGAAACTGTTTTAATTTCTCAGGCATAGATTTTATTTTTTTCCTGATCCTTTTTCTTGTGATAATGGACACAGTAAAAAGAATAGAATGGTAGTATGAATTGATTTGTGCATTTTAATTAGCACTGATACAATTGGAGGTAAAAATATTCCAGAAAGGATTTACAGAATCTAGCAAGCACATTGGCCAAGAAGTTGGCTACAGCCACTCGGAAGGAAGTAATGAGGTTACGAGTTGTATCTGAAAGCCTAATCCTTTCCTGGGTATTAACTGTATCAATTCTATTTGCTCATACATTTGCTCATTTTGGAACCAGATCCTGGAACTTTCTCAAGAAAGTGGACACTTGCTTTCAGTGACCCCATGATACAGACTGTCCATCTAAATACCTAAATGTTTTAGTTCCAAAACACTCCCACCCCAAATCCAACAAGCAGATGCTAAAGTGGAGATTCTCTGTGCAATAATGGAAAGAACATACCAGCTGTTCACAGGACGTATGAGAGGTAATTAGCACACTTCATTATATTGACTGTAGGAAATTAAGACTCTTGCCTAGCACCGTTTTGTTGTCCCTCCCTGCTGAATTGGTAGTCACCTAGAATCAGCAAGTTGATTTAGCAGCTATAAAGTAGGCACAATGCTGCTTATAACAGGACAGCTTTGGACTTGTGCAGGAGCACAGCTCTAAATATTTTGAGTACTTAAAGTCATCTTCTGTATGTGTGCCTGGTGAATGAAAAAGAAAAGGGTAGGGATGAATCCCCCACAAACTTAGATGACTTTTAGTGAATTTCTGCCCAAGATCCAGAGTAGCCATTTCAGTTCTCTGTTGAATTATTGTCTGTGTGTTTATAGAATGAAATGTTGCATTTTTTTGTGTTAAAAATTAATTTCACAGTCAGGAAAACCTTAAAATATTTTCTGCTGTTTGTTTTGAAAGACATTTCAGAATTTCGTTTGGAGGAACTGCATAGAAACGTAAATATTTCTGAAGGAATTGTACAGCAGAAGAACTGAATGATGTGTGTATAGTTCCTTCTGGCAAAGTTAATGATAGGCATGTTGGTCACCATGTCTGTTCCTTAATAATATAATGAAATGGTCTATTCTTGTAGGAATAATTTGCCAATACGCTATGTTTAGAATTAATTGAGCTGTTCCTTTTACTGTTTAAGAATAATTTAAAAACCTCTAAAACCTGTCCCCCTCTTCCCAACAAGTGATTTTCTTATTCTGAAGGACCTTTTGCAAAACAGTCCATATGTAAGTGTATTAAGGGATTTCCAATTAATCAGTACAGTGGAAAGAGGAAAAGAGGAAGGAAGATTCCTCAAACAATATTAACTTCTTAATTAAGAAAAAAGCAGTGGTGATAGTGAATGTGCTGAGTAAAACTAGACTACTAGGCAGAAATTGAACAGCAGAATTATAAACATTGACCTGTTGGTTACAGCAGATAAACTTTTATCTGCTGTTTATCTGTGTCATAACCCAAATAATAACTTTGGACTTTAGAGTATAGATGAAATGGTTATATTATTTTTTTAAGCTTTATAAACCTCAGTTTCCCTTTAGAATACTTTGCTATGTCTGCCAGAATCCTCTGATTTTATGTATATCTTTTTAGACTATTTTGTTTCTCTTCATTCAAATGTACCTCATGAAAAAGCTGTGTCTTTGTGGTGGTTAACCCTGGCTGGACACTGGGTGCCGAGCAAAGCTGCTCAACTGCTTCAGCTGGACAGGGGAGAGGAAATATAACTTAAAGCTTGTGGGTTGAGATAAGGGCAGGGAAAGATCTCTCAGCAATTAGAGTCGTGAGAAAAACAGATTCAACATGGGGGAGTTAATTTAATTTGTTCCTAATAAAATCAGATTAGGGTAATGAGAAAATAAACCCAAATCTAAAAAACATCTTCCCACCACCCCTCCTTTCTTCCCAGGCTCAACTTCACTCCCCATTTTCTTCCCCTTCCTCTCCTCCAGTAGTGTAGGGGGGATAGGGAATGGTGGGTTTGGTCTGTTCATCAAATGTTTTCTCTGCTGCTCCTCACTCCTCAGGAGTAGGACTCGGATTCTTCTCCTGCTCCAGTGTGGTGTCTCTTCTATGGGAGATAATCCTCCACAAACTTCCCCTTCCCATGGGCTGCAGTTCTTCACAAACTGCTCCAGCATGGGTCCCTTCCATGGTGTGCAGTCCTTTGGGAACAGAGAACGTGGGTCTCCCATGGGGT